GGAAAGGGTGGAGCAAAGGGGCCAGAGCCACGGTTCTCATATATTTCACCCTAAGACCAGGAATAATCACTTCATCCCTGGTGATTTAAGGGAAACGGAGTAAGAGAACCGAATCTGAGTGTTGCCTGAGGAGTATATGAATGAACAATAGTTGAAAGAGTAAATGAATGAATAGTATATGCCTTTAGTGTATTATTTGCATGTATTATTACGACCATTCGATGCCTGGCCCTCTGCTTGGAATTCTACATAAATCACCCCAGTTTAAGTCACATCATTACAAAACAGACTTTACCTCTTTCTCTTCCTCTTTCTTTTGAAAACAATTAAAGCTATTTTTAAAAGAAAAAGGGATGAAGTTTATGAGCTTAAAGACTTTGTCTTCCCACTCCCATGCCCAAAGATAAGCATTAAAAGTTTGGTATGAAGCTTTCCTGAGTTTTTTCATGGATAAACAAAGAAATTGGGAAAAAGAGAGAGTGAGAGTGAAAGTTATATTTTTTAAGAGATCCACACTTTAGACATTGTTCTGCGACTTGTTTTGCTCATTTGACAATATGATATGAGCACCTTTCCATAAGAGGATATATTTATCTCATTCTTTTTGGAATACGTATTGATCCATAATATGAATCTACTGTGATTTAACTTTATTTCCAAATTTTTGCTATTGTAAACAGTGTTACAATGAACATCATGACCTTCTAAGTAATTCCGTGATCTCCATTTTATAGAGGATGGAACTGAGGCTGAAGACAGTTACCCTTTTGCCTCTATGAAGTCGTGGGAGTGGAATACAAACCCAGGTCAGCCTGTCTTCTTTCTACTGCAAAATACTGACTATAAATGAAGCTTCAGAATCAGAAGGGTTCAGAATAGATTAAGCATATTCAAAATACTCCAGTACTTGGCTTGTGTTTGTGTATGTGTGTGTGCATGTGGTGCATCACTTGTACTGGTTTTCCATAGCTCTTGAAAAATGTCCTGTAATATATCATACATTTTATTTGAATTCAAAATGATTAAATTGATAAGGTAAATGCCACTACCCTATTAAGATTCTAGTTTAAATGGACAAATTACCAATTCTATCTTCCTCTAATAATTGCCTTTACGCACTGGATTGAAGCCTCTTTGAAAGGGCTGCATGTAATCTATTTTACAGAATATTTACCTGAGGGGGGGGACCTTAAACAAACTTATTGTCCCTTAAACCTTACTAAATGTTCAATTTAAGAGAATTGTTTCTTGTTGCATCACTACAGAGTTATACTACTCTGTTTATTTCTCAAGATATTTGAGAGAACCAGGTTACCCAAGAAACATCAACAACAGAGTTTGTTGCTATATTCCCCACCATTAAAAGTGCATTCTTATCTAAAACTGACCCTCTCATCTAGGGAACTACAGCCCTGCCTGGCATTGCTGACATCAGAATAAGGAGCCCTCGACTGATGTACTGGAGACATGGTTTTTCCTTTGTGAGGAAGTTTTGTAATTGCATAATATTTAAAGTGTATGAAAATATATTTAAAATAATGTAACAACTATTAGCTGCTACAAACATACTTTTGTGTGTGTATTTACATGTACACATATTCATACAAATACATGTGTATGTATGTGTGTATATACCCTTGTTTACCCTTGCGGTCAAAAATTTCTCTAGAATATGTACCAATGGAAATTCTGGACCATAGGGAGGCATATATTTAATTTTACTAATTATTTCAAGTTTGACTCTAACATGACTGTGCTAATTTATTTACTCACCAGAAATATGTCTCCACATTCTCACCAAAACTTTGCGTGTTCGACTGACAAGCGTAAAATTATATTTCAATGCAGAATTAATATACAATTATCCATCTACTAATGAGTTGTGTCTATTTCCATATTTCTTTTGACCATTTACTTTTTTCCTTCTATAATTATCCTGATTATATCTTTTGTGAATTTTTCCTTAGGGGTAATTTATAGAAATTATTTGTATATACTGGATATTGATTCTTCGACATTTATATGTGTTACAAACAAATTTGCCTGAGTAAATTTCCAGTCAGTATCTACTCTTTTCTTTTTTATAATGTTGGTATTTTTAACTTAGATATACTTGAATTTTTAATGATTTATGTTTTGTGCATTCATGTCTCGTTTGAATTTTTTCTGCATAGCTAAGTCATAGATATCTGCTATGTTTCACTCTTAAAATTACAATTTAAATCTTTATTACATTTGGAATTGATCTTTGCAAAATGTAAAGTAAGAACGCAATCTTTTATTATATGTTTAAGCATGTATAGCACCACAGTTTATTGGACCATTTTTCACTGATGTACGTGTACTGTTTTCATACATCAAGCATCCACAGGCTTGTGGACCTGTTTATGATTTGCTTTTCTCAGTTCCATTGATCTATTTGTCTACCCTCACACTACTATCACATTGTCTTTATTATTATCACTTTATAATAAGTTCTGATATCTGGTAAGACAAATTCCCACCTTGTTTTCCATTAAGTTTTCTCTTCCATATAAATTTTATAAGTCTGTGAACAAGCACATAAAATTGTCTCAACATTTCATTGGAATTACATTGAATTTATAAATTAATATGGGGGAAAAACACATTGTTTATACAACTTGGTCTTCATTGCTGACGGAAAGTCTTTTTTCCCTGCTTGTGAAGTTTTTTTCCTGCAAAGGAAGCTTAACTTGTGTAACCCTGGCCTTCCTCTCCCCATTTTACTCTCTTAGTTCCTAAAAAGTGGAATGACATATCTGATTGGCAAATCTAAGAACAACGCGGCATGCCGTCCTCTGCCCTTATCCTTGGGAGCAGCCATCTTGCTGAAGCCCTGGTTCTCCGCCATTAGAGGGCCGCTCCTCAACAAGATGGAAGAGGATGCCCCAGTCACTGCCACCGAGACTGGGTAGGTAAGCCTGTCTATTTATGGTGTTCATTGGAAGCAAGTAACTTGAGTAGTAAATTTAGTCTTCCCCTAGTGTATATACAGTATCTTTTATTTCTCAACTTGTTCAACTCCAAAGAAAGGAAAAGAATACCGATTCACTGGAGCCTCCTTTGAGACCTCAGCAGTCGTTTGTTTAATATCTGGTTGGATTTGACTAGTGACTGCGTATTTTTTAAAGCTGTTTGCATCTATGTTCACAAGTGAGGTTGGTCCTAATTTTCTGTTCTCAAACTTTACTTACTTGAGTGTTAAGTTTATATGAGTCTCATGAAAAGAGTTGGGGAATGTTTTCTTTTGTGACTTACAGAAAAATATTGTATAATATTAGAATTAGTTGTTCCATAAATATTTGGTAAAACTTTCCTGTAACATAATAGTGTCTAGTGCCTATCTGAGTAAATTTTTAAATAACAAGTCAAATGACTTAATGGTTTTGAAATATTTAAATATTTTGCACGTGCACACAGAGAGACACAAACTGACTACCACCACTCCTTATCCTGTTAGTCTGATTTATTTTTTAAAAATAAATATTGAGAAAACAGCAATAACATTTACCAAATTATATGTATGATATAAAATGTCATGGTGCAACAAATACTATATGCCAGCAATCCAGTATAAAATGGGGGAAAAAAAAGTTTTATTATTGCTTTTTACTTTCCCATGGAAATAAACTAGGGGAAGGAATGGACTTTATTCAGTTATTTTTCATAAAGAACAAACCATAGGGCAAAAAATATTATTTCAAATTTAAGGATTTCTGCTCTATAAAGGACATCATAGACGAAATTAATAGATAATAGGATGTGAGAAATACTTTGTCAACAACTGACAAGGGATTCAAATCTTAGATAAACACAGAACATCTAAAACCAACTCAGTAGAAACATTGGCGAAAAATATAAACAGGCAATTTACAAAGCAATAGAATCCCCAAATTCTAAGAAGAACATTAGATAATGATCAATTTTACTTGTAATAGGAAAAAAGTAATAAAAATGAGATATCAATTTCCACCTATTTTCATGGTGAAAAATTTTAGGAAAATACCAATGTTCACAAGGGAAGTCAGGATGTGGGAACCCTCATGCACTACTAGTAAAAGTGTACACTGGTGCAGTCTTTACGGAAATCGATCTGGAAAAACTTGGTCAAGCTAAATGTGTGCATACCCTCAGACTCCAAAATTTTGTCTCTAGGAAAACATCAAAAAAAGTTTTACACTGAATTATCTATAGTGGAGACAAGTTGTAAACAATCTACTATCCATCACTAGGAAACCACATAGGTAAAATATGATGGATGGATACCATAGAGCATGCTACTCAATGTGTGGTCCATCAACCAGCACTAGTCTGTCGACTCTGTTTCCACTCTATGATGAGATAACTATTGAAGGTGAGATTGAGCATTTAAACTATTACAAAATTTTGAGAATGCTGATAAAATTGTATTGCTTTTTACAAAAATATTGGACCACTACATATTGGAAATTTTATAAAGAATATTTTACTTTACCCTACGTATTTTGATAAGCACTTCTATAAAGGACTCTACAGATGTGGGCATCCAACATGGCACAGTTACTAATGAAGGGAAAAGGTTAAATGAGAATATGCAGATAGCTCTATGGGTATGTCATGATTTCAGATATAAGAATTAGTATTTAGGCAAAGTGGGGTTTCTGTTAAAATATAGAGATCATGAAAGAAAGAATAATTAAATAGATTTGTATATTTTCCCTAACTGACATATTTATGAAATGCCAATCACTTTGTACCCTGAGAACACAGATACTGGTCCATGGCCAGTTCCTCAAACTATAAATGAAATTATTAAGGTCAAGTGTCAAGTTTCAGCCTTTAAAATCAAAGTCAACTATCTCATAGAAAATATTCTCTGATCCCACTATGAAATCAAATATACCATTTACAATTTCACAATTAGTTAAAAGATCACAGTGGTGTTAGTTTTCTTTGCTCTTCTTTCTTTGCCCTTTTTCAGCTGATATTTAATCTTAGCCATGGGACAAAACAATGGCACTGAAGTGACTGAATTCATTCTCCTGGGATTTTCTGGCCAACACAAGTCTTGGCATATCCTCTTCATAGTATTTCTACTGATCTATGTGGCCACCCTAGTGGGAAACATTGGCATGATCTTACTCATCAAGATTGATTCTAGCCTTCACACCCCTATGTACTTTTTCCTCCAACACTTGGCTTTTGTTGATCTCTGCTACACTTCTGCTATCACTCCCAAGATGCTGAAAAATTTTGTAGGGACAGAACAATCCATCTCATTCCTGGGATGTATGGTACAATTACTAGTCTATGGTGCTTTTGCAACAAGTGACTGCTATATCTTGGCTGCTATGGCAGTGGACCGTTATGTGGCCATCTGTAACCCGCTCCGCTATCCAGTAGTTATGACCCAGAAAGTCTGCATTCAACTTTTAATTGGTTCATACTTCATGGGTTTTCTAAATGCTTCTATAAACACAAGTTTTACTTTCTCATTGAACTTTTGCAACTCCAATAAAATTAACCACTTTTTCTGTGATGAACCCCCAATTCTTAGCCTCTCATGCTCCAATGTTTACTTCACCATCACGCTACTAACAGTCTTTGTGGGGTTTAACTTGACATTCACTGTGTTGGTTGTCATCTTTTCCTACATATATATCCTGGCTGCCATTCTGGAGACATCTTCTGCTGCAGGGAGGAAAAAAGCCTTCTCCACCTGTGCCTCCCATCTGACAGCAGTCACCATTTTCTATGGGACTCTCTCTTACATGTATCTGCACCATCGTAGCATACGGTCTCAAGAGCAAGAAAAAATGGCTTCCATGTTTTATGGAATTATTATTCCCATGTTAAACCCCCTCATCTACAGCCTGAGAAATCAAGATGTGAAAGCAGCCCTAAAAGGTCTTGGAAAGAAGCATTTCTAATTTGAACCTTGATTTCTAACTCAACATGGTTTAACAAGCAAACAAACAGTTCTCTCTTATTCTCAACAGCAGAATATGTGGGAAATGTTTATGAGATACAAAGGCATTCCTTCATTATATCAATAGCATCTGAAAGATATTAAAAAGCATCTCAAATGATTAAATAAATACACTTCTAATTCATGTGTTTTTGAAAGAGAAATCACCTGAAAAGAAGATCTTTATATGGCTTTTGTACATTTTGAGGAGCCCTTTTTTCAAATATCTGCCTCTACAAAAAGAGAAGCATATAATCAATGTGGTTAAGTGCCCTCAACAGCTATAATATAAAGACTCACCAGGACAAAAATCTTTCCTGGTCTTCCCTTGAAAGGTACTGTTACTCTTGTTTTATTCTATAGCTAAGCTATTTTAGTATTGTAAAGAATAATTGAAAGGGTAATGTCTTTGGAGAAAATGTACAGAAAAGAAAGAGGAAAAAAAGAAGAATGAATCCTCATACATATTCAGACATTATGAATCAATACCCTTCCTTTCCATACAGGGTCTCTAACAACCAGGAAATTGACACAGGAATCAGGCAAATATAGAGCATATCAACTTATTATTGGTAAAGTTGTATTTTAAATATAACTTGAACCTCCAGCTATACCCACTTACAGGTGTACATAAGAGGAAAACAAAATCCAGAGCAGAATTTGCTACTACAGAGCAGACTCATTTACTCAGAATTGATGCCTTATTTCCCTTAATCTCCAAGAGTGAGGAGAGATGGAAGAATCCAAGGTAAACTCTAGAAGTAATACTTGGGCCAGAACATGAGTGTTGTGTCCACTTGGGAAAAAAGGAATCAAGCACACACTCATCACATGGACAGGCAGTGTTAACAGAAAGGCTGAGATCACATCTTATATTTCTTCTCTCAATCTCATCAATCAGTTAAGCCATAGAAAGGTGTGAGTGGGAGGTTGACAGGATGGGAGTTTACTGCCTTTCTGAACATTTCCATAAGTTTCAAATATATGGGCTGAGGCAAGAACACTGTGATATTGAGCCAAGCATAAGCCAAACCATACAAAGAGAAAACAGATAGTACCAGCCCATTTAGTAGGGTGCATTAAAGGACAGGAATCCCAAAATTAGGAAAGTAATCTTACGTAGGGTTGCTGGTACTCTGCCCTGATTTCCATCTATAGAGAGAAACCTTATTTTCTCTCTGGAATGTAAGCAAGTCCTCCCCAGAGAGGGAAGGAGAGGTCTTTATCTTTACTTTCCTGAACCTTCTCTGAAGAGGGAGACATCTCTAAATTTTACTATCTTTGTATGTCTACCTATACTGATATGCTTAAATGTAATGGCTGTAAATTTCTTGCACAGAGGAACTGTTCTGTGCAGAAATATTCTTGGAAAACCTATTAAATAATATTACCTAATATTCAAGTGAAAAAAACCATGAAATACATGGATAAAAGAAACACAATATTAGTAGTGGATGTTAATTTACCTCTTCCAGTCCATGACAGATCAATTTGAGAAAAAAATTTTAAAAATAAAGTTACAGAAGAATTATTTGACATAATTAATGAGAATAAATTCGTATGCTGAAACTCTATATTGTTAAAGCCCACAAGTCAAACACACCTGGAGTCAAAATTTTGGTTTATTTTGCTTCTGCAACACTCACTCCACAGGAGCTGTGGGAATCTCAATAAGAGAGAGTTGGGAGAGGGTGGTGCTTTTTATAGTGTATGGACTTTGCTGAATGAATCCAAGTATGGATTAGGAAAGCAGCTACTATCTAGATTTGGATACTGTCAAAAAGCAGGGGCAGGTCAGCAACTAAAAATCTCAAGAAGCATTGCTCAAGAGGTGGAAGGAAGAAAGTAGGAATGGTCACATCATTGGTGAGAACGTAGCAGTCATTGGAAGATGGAGTTGTTAGTTTTGCACAGTTGCCTTGTGGGCTTGGGTAGTCCAGTTAGAAACACTGTTTCTTGTTGGCTTTCTGTGACCAGTGACATTGTGTTAGACACATCAGTCTGATTTACTGGTGGAGCTGATTTTCATCTTCATGATAACTTGAATTTAATAATACAGCTTGAAAGTTAAAACAACCAAAATTCTACCACCTAAAACTGAAAACTATCATTTAAACAGCCTTCTGGTTGAAGATGAAATAAAAAGAAAATTGCCAAATATCTAGAATTTTATAACCCATTACATAAATCTCTATAAGAAAATAATATTAAGGAAAGGAGAAGAGAGTAATAATTATTTATTTTAGTTAACATTAACAACCTCTTAAAATGGCAGAAATAATAAATCCAGGAACTTATTTTCTGAAGCTAAAAGTAACAAAAAAATGGATAAATCATTTGCTAATTTATCAAGAAAAAGGTACTGGGGAACGAATACATTAAAAAGTGAGAGAAGAATACTTACTTTGAAGTATGCAAATGAATTCGAGAACTTGATGGGATGGATAGTTTTTCTAAGGAACTATTGATTGCCAAGGGTTACCACAGAAGAGATTAAAGAGCACTTAACATCAAAGGAATAAAGTCGTGAAAATACAACCTTCTCCTTCCCAAAAAAGCACCAAGCCCTGGAGTTCTAATCAATTATTAAGGACTAGTCAGTATCAATGGTGCTTGCACTGCTGGTGAACATAGGAAAAGAAGGAATGTTTCAAAGTAGTTCTTTATGTGGGAGGTTATCAAAGACAGCTCAAAAACTATAGTCCAATACAGCTTTCAAATACTAATACAAAAATCCGTAGTAAAAATACCTGCATATACACAAAAACCTCTCAGCAGCATATTAAATAATAAAACTCAAAAACCAAGTTAGTTTTATTGTAGGAGCACAGAATACTTCAATATTAGAAAATATATTAATATAACACATTTATTAATTGATTTTTAAAAGATACATCACAAAATCATCTCCATAGATGATGAAAAATGTTTGCTAAAATTAAACATTTATTCTTGATCCCTGTGTTTAAATAAGATAAAAATACCTTAACCCAAAGACTTGATCATGTTTATGGGAAAACACTAAGAGCATTCCATTTAGAGTTGGGAACAGGTAAAAGATGGCCTTGCTCAAAATTGCTCTTGAAATTATTCTGGAGCTAGTGATCAAAGCACTTAGACTATAGAAATCAGTAAAAAGAAATAAATCAAAAGGAAGTAAAACTTATTATTTGAAGATGACATGATTTTTTCTGAGTATCTCAAGAGAACTAGCTGTTATGAACAACAGAAGTCAATGAAGAGGCTAGACAAAAATTAGTATATATAATTCATTAAACTAAATAGAAAAACAGCAAACTAAATTCATTTGTTGGATTACTTGTTAATAAAGTGTTCATTAAATACTTAAATTAACAAAAATATGTATAATATCAGTATGACAAAAACTGCAAACATTTCTGAGGACAATTAAGAAATCTTATATAAGCAGAAAGATCCATCATGTTAAAGAATTGGGAAACCCAATATTGTTAAAATGCCAATCCTCACAGGATTGATCAATACTGTCAATGAAATCCCCCTCAAAATGCCATCAGGTTTTCAGTAGAGATTGATAAGTTAATTCTAAAACTTATTTGGAGAACTAAAACACGTAGAATAGCCAAATTTTTTTGAAAATGAAGACCAAAGTCAGAGGACGTATGCTACCTGTTTTTAAGACTAACTTCAAGACATAGTAAACAAACCAGTCTTCTGGTAATGTAAGGATAGGTATATTGACCAATGAAACAAATATAGACTGAAAAAATAGATCAACAAATGTATGGTAAATTGATTGTCAACAAAAGTACTAAGCCAATAGCATGATGAAGTTATTGTCTTTTTTAAAAAACTGATATGGAACAACTGTATAGCCATAGAGAAAAAATAAATTTTAACCGTTATCTCATCCTATCCACAAAAACTAACTTGAAAAGGATTATATACTTAATGTGTATTGCACACAAATGTAAATGCTAAAACTAAAAATTTATTTAAAAAAGATGATAGAGGAAAATTTGCGTGATCTTAGGATAACAAAAATGTCTTAGATAAGAAAGCAAAGACACAAAACATAAAAGAAAAAAAATTATGTATTTCCTTTATTGCTATTTAAAACTTCCAGTTCTAAAGACACCATTAAGGAAATGAAAGGATATGGCACAGATTGGGAAAATAAATATACATATGACATATATATATATATGACAAGCGTCTTTTTTTCAGAATAAAGAACTCTTACAACACAATAATTAAAAATGCAAATGAAAAAAACTTTTAAATGGACAAGCGATGACAGTAAAAATGTCAGAGTAGTTTCCTCTGAAAATACTCTCCCACGTGAAAGCAACAACAGCATTGTCAAGAAAAATTGTAGAATTAATGTTTTCAGAACTCCAGATTTTAACCAAAGACTTGCAGCAATCCAGGGAGCATTGATTCAAGAAAAATCATTGAGTCACAGAAAGAACAGCAAAGTTTTGTGGTGTGTTCATGCTCCCTATTCTCATCCTTCCCTCCCAGGTCCACAGGAGCCCTAAAAAACAGTAGCTGACAATCAGGATGGCTTCCTGGCAGCCAGTGGTGTGGAAGATCAGGAATGGAGCACTTTCAGAGCCCAATTCACAGAAACTTGCTATTATTTGACCCATATAGTAGTTCCCTGGAAGACCCCACTTGCAAGACTGTCATTATTTGACCTGACTCAAACCTCATCCAATGCAAAGAGACTTGTTTCCAAGGGCATTTGTCTAAAACAACATGAAGCAATTTTTTTTTTTCCTGAGGAAGATTAGCCTTGAGCTAACATCTGTTGCAAATCTTCCTCTTTTTTTGCTTGAGGGAAAGTAGACCTGAGACAACATCTGTGCCTATTTTCCACCACTTTACATGTGGGTCACTGCCACAGCATGGCTGACAAGTGGTGTAGGTTCAGGCCCAGGATCCAAACCCACAAACCCAGGCTGCCAACGCTGAGCTTGCCAAACTTGACAATT